GAATAATTTTCATTTTTAAGCTTTACTACAAGATTAAATTGAAAATATTGTCCTAAAATAGGAAATCAATTTATTTGTTGTGCTTGGTATCTTATATACGGATTGAGAAATAGATTGTAATTACGATAATTGTATTTATTGTTCACATAAACCTTTTTTGCTTCTTATATCTCTATTTTCAATCAGTTGTAACTCTATCCTAAAAATTAGAAACCGATTCAAAAAACAATATTATTTAATCTCAAATGCGATATATTCTCCAATCTATAGATATATTTCACTCTTTCTTCTATTTCTTTGCAGAAGTTTAAGATTTTTTTCACAACTGTCTACACACTCAAAGAGATTGCTTTTATCGACTCTAATCCTATTATAAACTATTTTTATATAATGTAGAATTAGCACAAAATTAAGCAAAAACTTTATTTCCTTACATTACAATTATTGATAAAAAAATATAATGTCATTTAATTTGTATATTTATAATTCAATGGGAATACATACAATGTGTTTATAAATAATTAATATTTTAATTGAATTAGTTTAGAAAATTATTATAAATAATAAATACAATAAATTACATACCGATCAATACTCATAACAGTAGCCGTGAATACCTATCAAATAAACAGACAGTTAATAATAAAGTGTATATAAATATTTAATTTTTATGAGATATTTAATGTCTGTACTTTAGTTAAGACAACGTTTAATGGATTGTATATACCAAAGGGCAATATTTTTTCAATTTAAAACTGTTGATTTAAAGCAAAAACATATTTATTATTTATATTGTACGAAATTAGTTTTTATTGTTTTTTACTAAATTGTTATATAAATCCTTTTGTTTGCTATAATAAGTTGCTTATTATAGAGTTGAGATAATTGCTATTTAAATTTACTTTAAATATTATAATATTCTACTATATTATGATAAAATTAAATGTTTAGATTAATTACTATAATTAGTTGGATTTTTGTTTTGCATATTTTACGACTAAATATGAATATGCAGTAATTGCATAAATAATAAAAATTATTTAAATGTTAAATAAAAAATGGTGTAAATATTATACAGAATATTTGTACTGAATATTAATAAGTGATTCAGAATAAATAATTTGCATAATATTCATATATCCATATACCATATCATGATAGAATTTCTAACTTTCATAAATTTTTAAATACTAGTAATATTGTATATGGTAAATAATTATAGAAATAGAAAATAATGATATTACCGATGAAGCGATTGTCAAATTATTAATGAAGTTATTGATATGACAGTAGGTGGTGGTGAATGGCCAGTGACCGGTCAACATGAATACGAAATTGAATGTCGCGTTGAATGAGACGGTCAACAGATCGGAGAGCGTGAGGTTCAGTAGAAATATGTTGATTACGGTTCGCATCACTTTTTGTCGCAAAACACACCATATTATCAGTGAATTGCCAAATATAGCCAACAACACCATGCAGCCAAATATCAGCGACCAAATCAATACCACATACCAGTCGTTGACAAATGGAAAGTCTGGTACAGCGGTGGTGTCCGTGTCACCGATGGTTCCCTCAGACAGTGACTGATTGCTTGACTTATGGCTGAACTCTTTGATCAATTGGATCAGTATTGTCTGGTTATATGTCCTCAAATAGCTGACACATTCCTCGTGTGGCGACAACTGGCCATCAATTTTGTGTTCAACACTTTTGCCCTTTTGTTTTGCTAAAACTACTTTCAGACAATAAGTCGATAATTCTGTTGTGTCTTGAATTCTGTCGAAAATTGTTTTATTTCTGAATTCCTCTAATGTTATGTTGTTTTCCATTATTATTATTATTATTCTGTTTCAAGTGTTTGCCGGTATTTAAGCGTAAAATATATTATGTAATAAATGTAATTTAGTTTATATTTAGCTTACATTTTTAAGAGCAGGTAATAAACTTGAAAATTTTGTCACAAAAAAACTTTTTTTTATTAATACAAATTCAAAAAACTTTTATTAAGCTTTTACTTTATGTTTCATTTATGGCATTTTTGCCTTGACAACAAAAATTAATTCAATGAATGATTTGAAAAGAAAAGCCAGAATTGAGTCGCTTTTTCATTAATATTTGACGAATTGATACGAATTGCAAAATTCGTATAAGATTTCCATCAATCATAGCGTATTCAATATAATTCGTATATTTCTTTATTTGAGTCCAAATTATTGTTTGAAACGATGATTAGAGTAGTGTTTCATCACATCTCACACGAAGAGCAGACGACACGATATATCAGTCAAAACTCACGGCCTGTTCTCCACTTAATGGCAATCTGAAGGCATTAGAGGACAGACTGATCGGTGGGACGACTACTTGTCTGGCGTTCAGATAAAAGCATTTTAAGCGAAAGTTATGAACAAAACTCTATTCAATTCATCTCAGACTGACATCCCATGCGCTCTTCAAATAAGGGCTAATCTCTGTCTTTCAAATGATCACCGATTTTGCGCACATTTTTTGTATCAATTCATATATTCTTGTATTATATTATATTTTTGTTTTTATTAAATAATTTATAAGTTTAATTGATTTTGTAAACATATTGTTTATTATGCTAATTAAAATATTGAGATGCTAGAATTTAAATATTAAATAATAAAAGCTATATTTAGTGTGTTTAGCAATAAGAAACTACTTATTTCGTAAATATCTTACAAATATTGGACATCTCTTACGCAATGCCTGAAGGGATTACAAATGATAGCAAATATATTGTTACAGTCGAGTGATTATTAGCTCAAAGAGGATATATATTTACATTTATAGCTATAATAAACTATAAATCTATTGGTGGTCATGAAAATATATGTGCGTTTAATACTTGTTTAAAGATATCATTTTCATATTACATGTATAACTTTGTTACAAAGAGTGGACAAGGTATTATTGTAGATCATTCAATTTAATAATTCAAAAATGCAAAATATTTTAAGATTCACAGAAGTGTTATAAACTGTTTATGTTAATGGATTTTAGGCTATTTCTAGGAAAATATGATTTTTTTGATAAGCAGTTGAAAGTTATTTTATTTTCATAATTCAAGTGTTTGCCCTTCAGTTATGATATGTCTGCATATCTTTATTAATATTTTTGTGAGTTTCGAAAGAAACCTGATACTTTTTTTGCTTAACTTATAATAATAATGGAAACAATTTATTGTATCATTCACGACAGCAATCCAATGGTTTATTAAATGTTCACAGAAACTTGAATTATTACGTGATTACTATGTAAATATATTTCT